TGAACTATTATGTGGGAGTTTATATCAACAAACAAACAAATTATATGTGAGTTTATATCAACAATTTATTTTGTAAAAGTAATAGATAACATATGTTTATTGATGTTTACATACATAAATAATAGTAAATTAAAAACAAATACTAAAATATGAGCAAATGCAAGATATATCAAATCTTAAGAGCCTTTTAAAAAAATTTCAATCATATTTATATTGAAACAAATGTCATCCACATCATTAGCATGTAATAATTTAAGATTTTTCTATAATAATATATAATAATTATATTTTATGTATTTTCTCATATTTTGTAACCTCCATACTAATAATTATCGTTATGTTGTTAGTGCTCCCACTAAATTGCAAAAATACTTTAAATACAATTAATACAAAATGAATTCTACACAATGAATTCTTTGAAATGTAACATCACTTTTATTATATACATACAATTAACTTATTCATAAATGACATTGGAACATAATTGTTAAAGTTGAATAGTAGTAAAACGTAAATATGTTGTCTTCTATAAATAGTAATATACACATATCACTAACCATCATATTCCAAATTTCGTAATATTGATAAATTTTATAACACTTTCTTTTATAATCCGACTAATGGTGTTTCAATATTACATTTTTGACGGAAAAAAAATATATTACATTTTTGTCAATTTTGTAAGAGGCTGTGAAGAGGAGATGTCATGTAACCAAGAAACATTACTCACAATCAATCGTATGTGCTATTTCAGAGGTCTTTTAAAAGGAGCGAGTAGAGAAACCCGAAGTTTGTAATGCAACAAGAGAAGATATACTAAGGTTGATTTTCTTTGTCCAAAACAATCAATCTATATAAACCTGAATTTTGATTGACTCAAAATAAATTTGATATTTTTGAAGTGAGATTAAGAAGAAAATCAAAAAGACTAATGATGAGTAGAAGGAAAAAATACAATTGAGTATACTTCCAAACAACATAAATGTTAAGTGGTAGTGGAAGTAGATGCTTGAATTGTATAATGGAATAATTCATCTCTCTTCACTCATCTCTTACAATATAATTCTTCCTACATCTATTTCTTAAACTGTAAAAAAAAATTACAGAATAAATTATTTGTTATACATTTCTCAAATAAATTATGTTTTTACAAGTAGCATAAAATGGTTATTTTATTAACGAGAATAAACTAATAAAATGGTGTTTCAACATTTGTTACGTCATTTATGTGATTTTAAATATTTTCATTAAGTAGATAAACAACTTCGAATCAAGTTGCATCAAAATATAACGGTAGACTCAATTCAAAACTCAGCCCAAACCCAATATGTATAACATTTGGTTATGATATTTTCATTAAGTAGAAAATAATAGGAAATTTGTTGTATTACCATTATATTTAAATTCTTTATAATGCAACAATCACTTTTAAAATTGGATAAATTTAGAATATCAACTTTACTTTAAAATATAAATTATAATTTGAAAACGATGTAACTTAATTTTCATAGTAGGGTTTAATATTTTCATATTTTAACAAAATAAGTATTATTTATGTATATGTATTATATTACTATAATCATTAATTTTATCATCAACACTCTTAAAATTTCTAATTGGCAACAAATATTGTATTGATTGAAAGCAGTAATATACTCTTAATTATTTAAAAAAAAACATAAATATCATTGTATATAGATGAATACAATTCAAATTTTATAGAAAAAATAAAATTTGAATTTACTGTCATTCATTTATTTATTTTCATTTAAATTTTAAATTCAAACAAAAAAACTAAGTAAAATAAATAGCAAATATAAACATAGTATGCAACAAGCCGCGAGTATCGCGGCTAAATAACCTAGTAGATGAAAAACAAGTGGTTTAGTGGGTTTCTCAGAGTTTCTCAAATGAGACATTCTGAGACATTCTCTCCTTTCTCTTTATTACTTTTTAATTTTTTTATATTTTTTTAAAAGAGAGTTTCTCAATGAGACACTATTGATGGAGTTGCTATTAGTCGCCCAATGATATTGCCATATTGGACTTCAACATTATTTTGAGAAAAAGAACAAAATATAGCATAAATATGTCCCGTTCATAAAAGATCCAACAAAACAACAATGGACTAAACATATATACATATCAGTTCATAAGAAGATAGCTAAATACATCAGTTCATAGGTCCATAAGGCCACACTTGACTAGTTAGATCGATGGATGCATTAGTTCATAGAAACTAAAAAAAAAAAAAAAAAACTAATGAAGCCCAAAAACACCAGTTAATATATAGCATATATATTCAGAAAACTGTATCCATTAATTTATAAAACTTCATATAAACACACATAGCCTTAATAAATCATGTCATAGAAGTTCTAAAAGTTCTGAATACGAGATATACTAAAGGGAGACTCACAAAAATGCCCCTTTTTCAATACCCCTTTTCAAAAATGCCCCATTTGGTTGTCCATTTTTAAAAACACCCCTTTTATGTACAAAATGACTAAATTACCCTTCTTTTAATAAAAGATATCACAAATATATAAGGAAATATAACAAAATTAGGTCCACAAAATACAAAATATTTTTTGGCGGGAAAAGTGATCCCGCAATTTTTTCCGCCAAAACACTTGTAAAAACTTATAAAACCTTTAAAATACCTTGTAAAATTTTCTCGTAAAATTTTTTCCCGCCAAAAAATTTTCCCGCCAAATTTTTTTTTTTGCGGGAAAAGTGATTCCGCAATTTTTTTGGCGGGAAAAATTTACAAGGTATTTTAAAGGTTTTTTACAGGGTATTTATAAGGTTTTACAATGTATTTTAAAAGGTTTTACAACGTATTTATAAGGTATTTATAAGATATTATAAGATTTTACAAGTTATTTTATAAAGTTTTACAAGTTATAAGGTTTTACAAGTTTTTTATAATGTTTTACAAGTTATAAATACCTTATAAAATCTTATAAGTACCTTGTAAAACCTTTTAAAATACATTGTAAAACCTTACCTAACACTTGTAAATACTCTGTAAAACCTTTAAAATACCTTGTAAATTTTTCCCGCCAAAAATTTTCCCGCCAAAAAAATTTCGCCAAAAAAATTGCGGAATCACTTTTCCCGCAAAAAAAAATTTTTGGCGGGAAAAATTTTTACGGGAAAATTTTACAAGGTATTTTAAAGGTTTTTACAAGTATTTTGGCGGGAAAATTGCGGGATCACTTTTCCCGCCAAAAAATATTTTGTATTTTGTGGACCTAATTTTGTTTCATATAAGGGTAAAATGGTCATTAAAAATTAAAAGAGGGCAAACTTAAAAATGGACTCTCAAAAGGAGCATTTTTGAAAAGGAGTATTGAAAAATGGGCATTTTTAACAATTTCTCTATACTAAATTACAAAACTATTCAAATTTTATTTTTAATACACACAAATTTTGGAATTACCTCAATTATTTTTGTAAAAAAGCGCTGACGGAAGAAGAAGGAAATTTCGTCAATGTGCGTTAATATGAATTTCATTGCTCCGTACGTGAGATGATTAATTTATTTATAATTAATTTAGTTCATACTAGTAATAACGAGATTATAAAATAATTAAAGATCCAATATTATCCATTTATTAACATAGTATCCATTAATTAAAATACTTATAAAGTACTAAAGGATAGTCTCGTTACTCCTTAGTACAATTCTTAACATATTATCCATGTAAAATTTGAGCATTATTCATCCTAAAAACATATCATCCATTTATTAATATTAATGACTCAGCTCAAAAAGTTAGAGAAGATTGGTTGGAATGGATGGAAGCTCAAAAGATTGAGGCTGATGAGGATTTGGATGTGGAGACTGGTCTAAGGGGTATTCGCGGGAGAGTAAGAGCCATGGCTGTTGGATGGACTGCCCCTCCTAACAACTGGTTAAAGTGTAATGTGGCTACATCTTGGTCCAAAAAGGAACCATTTTGCTGGCTGTGCTTGGGTCTTAAGGGATCATCTTGGTAAGGTTCTACTTCATAGTAGATGTGCTTTGACATGAAGTTTGGTAAAGCAAGAAGCTCAGTTCAAAGGGCTGTTGTGGGCTATGGAAAGTATGAGGTTTCACAGGGTAGAAAAAGTGGTTTTTGCCTTGCAGGAGGAGTTTTTGGTGAATGTGGTTTCTCGACCGGCTGCTTGGCCGTCCTTTAGATACCATTCTATGGTTCTTGGTCAAGTTCTCAGCTCTTTTCGGTCTTGGAAAATTCTTTTGGAAAACTATTCCTCAAACAGAGGAGCCTTTCTTATTGCTAAGAGTGTCACTGATGATTGCCGACTCCAATCTTATGTGGCTGTGTCTCATCCAGCTTGGCTAGATGGTGTTTTTAATGAAGAAAGGATCTCGTCCTCTGATTGAAGTTTAGTTTTTGCGTTTATGGCTCAGGATGTGAGCATATTCTTTTTGTTTATGCCCTCTCTGTGTAGATGTGGCGTGGTTAATGTGGTGCTTAGGCCTTTGTTGGTATGTGTTGTAAAAATCAATCATATCTTTAATATAAACTCAGTTGACAAAAAAAAAAATTCATAGTTTCGTACTAGTACAACGGGACTAAAAAATAATTAAAGACCCAATATTAATTACACATAGCAAGAACAATTTTAAGATTCATTTACAGCCGTTGGATCCAACTAATTTGCCGTAGGATTAATTACTACGCGGTTTTTGCAACATACGCTTTTCTCCTCTACAAATTGTGGGTCCCCATGTTCAGAGGTATGTTCTTCCCTACTATAATTCATAATTTTCACACAACTATATATACTATGACTTTTATAAAGTCGGTGATAAACAAATTAAAAATTTAATTTTTATAAAGTCACTACGCGAAACTTAACAACTAAACTCTCTCAATTTGGATCCTCTATTATGCATTAACTTTATTGATTTTTTATTTATTCATTCTGGATGAAATCAAAAAAAAAAGCTACTTATAAAACAGTGTGAAACAATAGACAATTGTACTGAATTAAACTTTTTTTTTTTGTCGGAATTAAAGTAAGAAATCAGCTTTTTTTTTGTTTGTTTTTTTAAATTTATGTATTTATTTTCCCAAGCTATCAGCTTTTCCTTTCTTAATTTTTCTTAATTTCTTCCTGCTTTTTTATCTTTTAAATTTTATTTATCTATTTTCTCAAATTTCCTTGGATTTTAATTTTAAAATTCTTCCGCCGATTTTAGGTTAAATGATTTTTTTTTTTTGTAGAAAAGATAAAAATACGAAAATATCAGACGTCGTCGATTGAATCTACAAAGTTCCTCCTCTTCTCTCTCTCTCTCAATCTCAATGGCTCTGTTTTAAAAAGGGCAAATTAGAGTCCTTCAATAACAAAATCGCCAGCTTTATCTCTCTCTCTCTTTTTTTCTCACATCCACGACGATTCACACATAAACTAGGGTTTCCCCACAAATAATCTTACACGTTTCCTCAATTCCTTCCTTCCTTTCTCCGTCATCATCATCATTTTTCCCACCGACAACAATCTCTCGGAGTTTGGGGATTATTACTTCTCATCAACCAATTGGATCTCCCAGATTCCTTCATAATCTCTGTATGTTCCTTCTTTCCGACAAATCTATCTTATGTTTTGCCAGATCGGGCTTACTTTTTAAAAAATCTGTTTTGTTTCTCAATCTGTTAATAACTAATATCGTACTAGTTAAAGAGTGTTTTTTTGTAGCTTGTTTATTAGATCTCTTTCGTTAATCTTACGGAAGATTTGATTTATTGCTTCTCTTTGAAGACAAGCACCAAAAAAGTTCATATCTTTTTGAATGTCTCTGTTCTAGTTTTAATAATATAACAGATTTGAGATTCTCTTTGTCTCTTTAGTATAATTGTCTTGTTTTTGATCTGTTGTTGTTATGTCTCTATTTACGTATTCGTGGAATCTAAAGCTTCAGTCTTTTTTTTTCTTACTCTTGATCTGATTTGGAGCTGATCTGTGTTTTTCTTATATGACTTTTTTTTTGTTTAGATCAATAATGGCTTTGAAGTCTAGTTCTGCTGATGGTAAAACCAGAAGCTCTGTTCAGATCTTCATTGTGTTTAGTTTATGTTGCTTCTTTTACATTCTTGGAGCATGGCAACGAAGTGGTTTTGGTAAAGGTGACAGTATTGCTCTTGAGATGACTAACAGTGGAGCTGATTGCAACATTGTTCCTAGCTTGAATTTCGAGACTCACCATGCTGGCGAATCGAGTATTGTTGGTGCTTCTGAAGCAGCAAAGGTGAAGGCTTTTGAGCCTTGCGATGCTCGTTACACGGATTATACTCCTTGTCAAGATCAGAGGCGTGCCATGACTTTCCCGAGAGATAGTATGATTTACCGAGAAAGGCATTGCGCTCCTGAGAAAGAGAAACTGCATTGTCTTATACCGGCTCCTAAAGGATATGTGACACCTTTCTCTTGGCCCAAGAGTCGAGATTATGTGCCGTATGCTAATGCGCCGTATAAAGCCTTGACTGTTGAGAAGGCTATTCAGAACTGGATTCAGTATGAGGGCGATGTTTTTAGATTCCCTGGCGGTGGAACTCAGTTCCCTCAAGGTGCTGATAAGTATATCGATCAGCTTGCTTCGGTGATACCTATGGAGAACGGAACTGTTAGGACTGCTTTGGACACTGGTTGTGGGGTAATGTCTTATACTTGACTCTCTTATTGAAACTACAATAATTACATGGTGGAACTAAATCGAAACGTTTTTGTTAGGTTGCAAGTTGGGGAGCATACTTATGGAGCAGAAATGTGCGTGCAATGTCTTTCGCACCAAGAGATTCACACGAGGCTCAGGTCCAATTTGCTCTCGAGAGAGGTGTTCCCGCTGTTATTGGTGTTCTTGGCACCATAAAGTTGCCATACCCAACACGTGCTTTCGACATGGCTCATTGCTCTCGGTGTTTGATTCCATGGGGAGCAAATGGTTAGAACCGTTTCTGATCTTATATCAATTTGACTTTCGCTATGTCTAAAAGAACTATCAGTTACTTACAACACTGTTTTTGTGTTTTAACAGATGGGATGTACTTGATGGAAGTTGACCGTGTGCTTAGACCCGGTGGCTACTGGATTCTATCTGGTCCTCCAATCAACTGGAAAGTCAACTACAAGGCATGGCAACGTCCCAAGGAGGACCTTCAAGAGGAACAAAGAAAGATTGAGGAAGCTGCTAAACTTCTTTGTTGGGAGAAAAAGTATGAACACGGCGAGATCGCAATTTGGCAGAAGAGAGTCAATGATGAGGCATGCCGATCAAGACAAGATGATCCTAGAGCCAATTTCTGCAAAACCGATGATAGCGATGATGTCTGGTAAGTATCATTTGTTATAACCTCTTTTTTTTTCTTGTTAGAAACACCACCATCAAGTTTAATTTTTGGCTCTAATAATTCATCTTCTTTAGGTACAAGAAAATGGAGGCATGTATTACGCCGTATCCGGAGACAAGTAGCTCAGATGAAGTAGCTGGTGGTGAGCTTCAGGTTTTCCCTGATAGGCTCAACGCAGTGCCGCCCAGGATCTCTAGCGGTTCGATCTCTGGTGTTACTGTTGATGCATATGAAGACGATAACCGACAGTGGAAAAAACATGTGAAAGCCTACAAGAGAATCAACAGTCTACTTGACACAGGAAGGTACCGTAACATCATGGACATGAACGCAGGGTTTGGTGGATTTGCTGCTGGTCTCGAATCCCAAAAGCTTTGGGTTATGAATGTTGTTCCCACAATTGCCGAAAAGAATAGACTTGGAGTTGTATATGAACGAGGACTCATCGGTATCTACCATGACTGGTAAGTAAAAGATTACTCACTCTTCTTCTCACAACTTCTCAAAATTCATTGTCTCTGGTTTGATAGAGACTGTCTGCTGAAATGGTTTTCAGGTGTGAGGCTTTCTCTACATACCCAAGAACATATGACCTGATCCATGCGAACCACCTCTTCAGTCTGTACAAGAACAAGTATGTATATCTGTTTTGTTTAATGACTCATAACAACAATCATCTGGAGGTATTTTGAGATTGCTAATGTATGAATCCGAAACTCTTTAGGTGCAATGCGGATGACATTCTTCTGGAGATGGATCGAATTCTCCGACCAGAAGGAGCTGTTATAATCCGAGACGATGTGGATACATTGATCAAAGTGAAGAGAATCATCGCTGGAATGAGATGGGATTCGAAGCTTGTCGATCACGAGGATGGTCCTTTAGTTCCTGAGAAGGTTTTGATTGCTGTGAAGCAGTATTGGGTCACCAACTCCACCTTGACCCACTGAAGTTACTTTATTTCTGGTGTGACCTGACATTTTGATCAAATGATAGAGCTTTCGTCCTTAGGGAATGTGAGAGAGCTGCAATCTCGTCTTTAAACACTTTTTGAAGTATCTATTTATTAATGTAATAGTTTATATTTGTTTCCTAATCCAAAAAACTTGGAACTTTGTGGTGTATCATTGAATTCTCAACTTATTAGTTTTTTTGCATAAGCCAACTCTGTTTCTTCTCTTACAAACTCAGATTTAAATAATCAACGAGTATGTTTCAGGTACACCAAAACGTATAAATATAATGTATACTATATACAAATCTCAAACTCAAGGCTAGTGCAGCTCTAGGGACTTGAGAGAAACAAATCAGCTCTTCTTCTGATTAGTACTCTCTACGTGTTCCAAATACTCAGGCTCTCAACTTAATCAGTCTCTAACTTGTTTAGTTGGACGAGCTTCAAATCCACCATCTTTCCGTTTCTCAAGAGTAAGGCATGTAAGTACCAAGAATCCGATCCCACATGACGAAGAAAGGCTGAGAGAAGTTGAATTTGTTTCCATAATGCTGATGGTGCACATCATGATACGCGGTGTTGTTCTTAAACAAGATATGGAACAGATTTCCAGGGAGGCAGAGTCCGCAATGGTCATCCACGGTTTTGATGGTTGCAAAGGAGAAGAAGAAGATTGAAGTTCTTGGAGACATACCCGAGATAAGGAAAGATAAAGCCCCACCAATTGTATCGAGGAGAAGGCCTTCTATTGGATGGTTGTATAGAGCTCCATAAGCATAGGGAACAACAAGCCTATGGTGCTGAGAGTGGATATGTTTATATAAGAACTTGTTGTGATGCATATACCGATGCATGAAGTATTGCCATGTGTCGAGGACTAACATGGCGGTTACACTCTGGCTAGCTAGAGCCAATACGGAAGATTGCTGTGTCGTGCTGGACTCGGCATCACTTCCTGTCACCTGCAAATAAAACACATGACATATTCAAAAAAAGTTTAGTGCAAGAAAATAAAGCAACACCGTGGAAAAGTTCATCCTAACATACAGAGTTCAAGAGGAGTAATGGCATGGAACATGATTAAACTATTAAAGACATTGAGCACCAAGATACAGAACAAGTACATGAAACTGCTGTGAGAAAATTTTCCTTCAGGATCCATCAAATGGTTTAGCCACACAGCAAAACAGAGGTCAAGAGATTTTATGGTATGGAAGAAATTGAATCTATCAGAGACGTGTTGATGCATAATCTACAACCTCAGACGCTCACAAGAGTCTGACACTCACGTTTTCTTAAAAACAACATGTTCACCTATACACACACCATAAACTAGAGCCATTATGCTGCCAGGCAGAATTTAAGTACGAATCGGATCATCAAATCATATAATAACCAATGCCAAAAGGAGACTACTCCACTGATTCCTGATTGAGATAAAGATCAATCCTTTACATGTAGATCAAACCCTGAAACTATCCAGTCTAATTCATAGCTCATGAAAAATTCAGAGATAGATTATTTAAACATTGAGCTCACTAAGAGAACAGAACATCACATTACTAATCATTCATACCCATCAAATTGACATTATAAGGCAAAGTAGGTGTGACAACGTTACTGTGAACAAAATGATCGCAACGATGGCCTGAATAAGCTGTTGGAGAAGAACACCTTTAACAACATTGGACTTGGAGACAATATTCTTCTCTTCTTCCTCAACCTTTGAATGCAATCTATAACTCTCCAACGAAGAGAGAGCCACATAAACCCCATAATAAACCCAATACACCAGAATCGGAGCAAAAGCTCCCAACAATTCGTCAGACAGAACAAAACCCATCTTCCAAACTTGTTGGGAATCAGTGAAATGAAATGGGAATCTGCTGAATAAAAAAGAAACTGGAAATTTTGACAATTGGAGATATGAAAGAGGAGAAGGGAAAATTTAGTAATAGAAACTCAAAAAAGAAGGTTCAATGATTGGGAATTTGGGATAAAGGTAGGGTTTTTTTAGGGTTTACAGTTTTTGATTTTGCCAAATCAATCGATTCAATGGATCAATTAAAGAGACACAGAGATAGAGAAATAAACTAAAATAGCTAAAGCTATTTCTGTCTACGTGGCAAACGATGAAGAGATCGAACTTTAAAAGGATCATTTTTGACCGTTCGATGGAGGAGCAACGATGTATCTTTCCCGCGTTTTGTTATTTACTTATTTTGTCGCTCTTTTCAAGTTGTACCATAAAACGACGACGTACTTGCTAAGCTGGAAGTCTGGAAAAGAGATGTGTCCAGGACCAATAAACCGAATCTAACCGATGCTTACCAGTTAGTTTTACGAAATACCATGTACCTTATTCAGTTTATTATAGTTTTCTAGACATTTTTGTGTCCATTATTTGCGTAGAAATCTATAAAATGGTTTGGGAAAAAAACATTTCCTTTCAAGAATTGTCATTTACACATATTCCATGTGATGAAAACAACAATAAATTGAACAGGATCTGAGTCTCTGAATGTGTGTAAGGTTATGAATCAACTTGCAACTCTTTTGTATCAGACTTCTTTGGGAAATTGAGACTGGCCTGTATAACTCTCTTAGTTCCTGAAAAACACAGAAGTAACATAAGAAACAAAGGAAACAAAAAAAGAATCAATACTTGCAAGTTATATGGGAAGGTATAAGCACCTTTTTCTGGGTTCTGCTTGATCGAATTAACGACTGTAGATTTCCAGTCCTCATACTTAGCCTCTTCCATCTTCTTGTGTCTTTTGTAACATGAAGACTGCAGAAGCTCAAATTCAAATGTGTTGTGAATCAGTTATGGTCACAAGTTTGAGTACAAGTATGTACATTTGATAAATCACAAAGAGAGAATGATTCTAAACAGATTATTGGAAAGAAGTCAGTTGCCATGAAAGTACCTCATCATCAGATGAATATTCACCATCCTCTAGTCTTCTCCTCTTTCCAGGTAACACATCAAGCAAGTCTGAGGAAATTTTTGCATATAATCACTTATTGAATTGAAGATAAGCCTTCACTGAATTGAACTAATGTAAGGCAATTGAGATATGTATAGATAAACCGTAAATGTTTTGTCGAGAGAGAACTGAATAACCCATACCTCGGTTTCCTTTCATGTCTTTTGCATCTTTCTTTTCCTTTGAGATCCCAACACAGTCAAAGCAAAGATCTGTCATAGAGGTGGAGACCTGTAGGTAGTTCCTAGTCAGTACTTTGGATATCGAGTCATAATTCTAGACATCAGTGTCTCTATGAAATAACAATGTCACTTACACAAGAGAATTCAGATTCTGATGTTCCACAAACCTCAATCAGCCTAAGCTTATCTACCTTAAGCTGCAAATTGATACCAAAGCCAAAAATTCAGTAACGTCAAGCAATCCAAAGGTATCCCGAACATCCCTCAAAAAGGAAAGAAAGTTGAGTACTACCTTCTGCTTTTTAGCACACAAATAGAAAGCAGCAGCTGTAAATACAGGCCTAGTAAAGTCAGCATTTGCCCGTCTCGATGCTGGTAGTGACGCAAGAAACCTCTCCTTATACCTAAAGAGCAATTTATTGTAGTTAAGAACGCAAACATGGCCAACAAATCCATATGAGGCATTTCAACAAACATATGGCATACAAATCTTTAAGTAAACATCGGAAACGGAACGAGACAACACAAAAGGCGAAAGAAGGCTTACGAGGATAACACATTTTGCACAGATTTGATTATCCTAACACAGCCAAACTGAACCGCCAATTCTCTTACATTAAGCTTAATCCTGAAATGCACAATTAATCACACATCATCAATCAAGATTAACTCCACCACCAACAGATTCATTAAACAACTAGAAGAAAGACCTGAAAATGGAAACTCACTTGATCCCAATAACGTTTTGGAGACTATTGAATGATCTAGAATAAGCCTTTTCCGACATACCACTCAATTTAATCGCTGCTTGTCTATCAAATATAATCTGCAACCTAACAATAGATTCGAATCGAGTTAAGTAAGATACTGCAATAACCCAATATGCAAATTGAAATCGATATAATCAATTAAGAAAATTTTACCTAGAGGCGGCGATTTCTAGACATATCACAGCTTTACAGATCTCACCCTGAAAAAAATCAGATTTCAAACACATAAGAAAAAATTAGAATCAAAGTATTCGATGTGAAAACTTTGGGATTCAGAATCGGAATATCTTACAACGCCGATGATAGATGAATCGAACTGAGCATCGCAAAGACGGCGGATCTCTGCAGCTTTTCGGATTAAAAGCTTGTTGTTATCGAGACCAAGCTTCCTAGCTATGTCGGAGATATCCATATCTTTAATTTTCCGGCGATTGTTAAAGATAAAGAACCAAAGTCAGTCACTGTGAGAGATTTTTTCCCGAGAAATGTCAATGGAACCGATTGTGCTATGAAAACGCTATAAACAAAACGTTGCCAACGTTTGGCGGGATTTTTTTACGACTGGTTGAAATTTTAGCCGCGAAGATTTTTTGGCTCTTAAACCATTTATATAATGGGCCTTAAAAGGCCTCGACCCGGCCCAAATCCAGAAGCTGTAATCACAGTATCCGATGAAAGACGAAAGAAAAGGAAACAAATGTAAAATATTCGATTAAACGGTAGATGCAGTGTTGGTTCGTTCTTACTGACTACCGTACAGTTCAGAGCTTTTACACCAAACAGAAGAAACAAAGCAAAGAAAAAAAAGAGAGTGAAGTCTTTTTTTTTGGTTGTGGTATTCAACTTATTTAGGCTAGATAGCGGTAAAGTCTCCGGTCTGCACTATCCCTTTCCAAGAAATCTCTTTCAATGAGCGACTCGATTCTCTTCTTTATCTCTGTGGGATTAGCCAGGAACCGTGGCTGCAACTGTTTGGTCACCTCCGCAATTATGTTGTTGTGGTCTAGTATTTTTCTGGACTTCATGATCCTTACAATGGCTGCTTCAATCTGAGGTTTTCTGTCTTCCTCCACTCTCTGCCTCGTCTCTTGCTTCTCTGGTTCTGTCTCCTTTTGGGCTACCACGGTTCCGATCTTCACTTTATAAAACTTGCTGGTGAATTTGTCGTTCACAACAAACGAATCCTCCTCTCCTATGTCTTTGCTCATGGGTTCTTTCTTTATCACGTTTTTGCCCTTTACACACGCTAGCGACTGCAAACAGCGTTTAAGATCTGCTGCCGGGATTTCAGTAGCCTGTTCGATTTCTTTGTAGCTGAGTCGATCAGAGTTGTTGAACAACATGAGAACACACATCTGGAAAGTCGACACATTCAGCTCATGTTTCTGACCCTTTCCAAAGATGGCTTTGATATCTGCTGTGCCCATGTTTGTTTGCCAGGACAATCTTCTACCGGTATGTGTCCCAAGGTAGTTAGAACGGAACTTCTCACAGAGAACTGAAACTTCAGCTGGGAGATTACAAGGTACTGCAGGCTGTGTTGGCCAAGAACCAGTTGTAAGTACCTGAACAATAAGTGTTGGTCCTTCTGAAAGCTCGGGGTGACTGCCATAAAACCCGCGCATTGTGTCCTCTGAAGTCTTCATGTCAGTGAACATGCCTTCCAATTTTGAAGTGAACTGATAGCCACATTCTGTCTTTAGTTTCACTATTAAACTCCTCTCCGCTTCATCTGACACAGTTTTGCCTGAGAGAAGCCTTTTAGCCAAATGCTGCTTGTAGTACTTCTCAAAGACATCTTTCTCTTGTAAATAACGGAACAGCATCATAACTTTATCAAGGATAACCTCCACATCCACATCGGCGATACCCTTAAGTCCTTTCCGTAGCTTGTCATCAACAAACAGTGAGATGAACTCAGGAGAACGAGCATTCAAGTTGATGAAATACTCAAATGAAGAATTCAGCGCATTCTGAAAGGTTTTATCGTTGCCAAATGCGGTGCTGATGATTTTGTCATATTTATCCCGCTCATCCAATAGACGCTGTACAAATTCCACCGGATCCTTTGACTTTTCCGGATCAGTAACCAGTTGTTTTCCCATCTCCCTAAGATGAGAAGTCATAACGTCTCTGACAGTAACAAGACCATTAGTAACCCTGCGAAACAAGTTGTACATTCTGCCCAAATCATCATACTTGTCATTCAGAAGCATATTAACCAGACCTGAGTTCTCCATGTGAACCAGTCTCTGCATGTGGTTGGCAATCATCTCTTTCTCAACCACACTAGTAATCTTCTCTTCGCTCTTGGCATCCAAGTAGTGTGCTACCCTCTCTATTTCTTCAGTAAGGCGTTTCTCTGCTTTCTTTAGGTAATCCCCACAATCACAAGATTCAATAAACTCCTGAGACTCAACCTTATAAAACTCAGAAGACGCATCCAAAAAAGGCTTCTCAAAATCCTCCTGATACACAGATTCACCCAAGTCCATAAACATCTTAATTACATTCCTCATTAACCCCCTGTCAATAACTTCACCAGTCCGTTCCTTCTGCACTAGATCAAGAAGAGTGTTTAGAAGCCTTGTATGTATCTTAGTGAAATGCACAACATTATCCCTCCACAAGTTAAGCCCCATCGGATGAACATGGGTCTTTTTGGTGCTCTCAATGTAAGTCCTATCCATATACATGAGAATGTCCCGTATCATCTCTAACGCTTTGTTGTGCTCATTCCATTTCTTATTGATCTCTTCTAGAAACGATCCTCCTTGAGCTGCCTCGATAAGCTTGGACTTTTCTTTGAGATGAGAAGTCATAGTAGCAATAAACCCAGTATATAGCTTCTCACCAAACTTGTGCAGGACCATGTTGTACGCATTTCTGAGCCAATATACACAATAACTCAATTTAGACAACGAAATTAACACGAAACCTAGCTGAATGAAAGAAAGACTAACAACAACAGCTCAAATCCAGTATTGATTCCAGTATCATTACCAATTTGTACAAGAAAGGCAAGAGAATATAAGAAAAGACCTGTAAAGTTCTTCGAAACTGAGACCGCTAGCATCTTGATTGTAAATCTGATGGATCGCACGCTCAAGAATCTGCCAAGTTTTATCAGCGTATTTGGGATCTACAACGACTCGATGCTTAAACGCCTCTATCTGAAAATTCCTCTTCTTCTGATTACTCATATTTTGAAACCTAAATCCAAAGCAAATCGAGAAGAAAAATTGAAAAATTGAAAAATTGAAACAGAGAAGAAAGTATATATAAAATCATAACAACAATCAGGTGGATCGAGGAAATCGGAAGACTGACCGGAGAGGAAAGACGGATGATCGGATTAGGGTTTGGAATTGTATTCTTTGCTTCCGATAATAGATTTGGGGGAAAAAAGGTTAGGAAATGGAATAATAATCCAAAAGTTGAGAAAGAAGCTTAAAGATATTTGTAGCGTCGGTGTCTAAGAAGAGATATAGACAGAGATATCGGAGAAGATAGATTTTGAAGGTGGAGAAGAAGGAGACGACAGACAAACGGAGCGGAATAAATAAAAGTGGACTCTCCGTCTCGGCTAGTAGTTTCGAAACTATAAGATACTAGAGTTAAATCCGCGGGGTTATATATTTTTTAGAAAACCGATTTTTTTTTTTTGAAGATTATCTATACATATAATTTATTGTTTTGTTCGATTTAAATGTACTTATACTGTATATGTATATATTATACTGCAGATCGATTTTTAATTTATACTAAATTTTTTAAATTTTAAGTTGTATTCACCGAAAGTGCTCATCCAAGCTCTTTAAGGAGAAAGAAGCTTAAGGATATTTGCAGCGTTGGTGTGTAAGAAGAGATATAGATAGAAATATCGGAGAAGATAGATTTTGAAGGTGGAGAAGAAGAAGGGGACAGACAAACGGAGCGGAAGAAATAAAAGTGGACTCTCTGTCTCCGCTGGTGGTTTCGAAACTATAAGATATTTACCAAACTAAATTCATGAGTATCCATGTCTCCTCCTTTGGTGTAGTGGTTAATGATTAAATATTATTCAGTGCATGGATCAACCCATCTTCGAATCCTGATTAGTTCTCTTTTTTCGACATTGGTGGTTTAGGTAGCTTTTTCTTTATGGTTATGACTAATTGGCACGTTTGTCATTTCATTTAATTGAGCTTTTGGTTTAATGTATGAAAATAACTCATATTTGAATTTTGTCATCACTAAAATCTTCTATATATTAAAAGAGATTTTTTAGTGTTCACGTGGCAAACCCACAATTTTTCTCAATTTTTTTTTTTAAATTTGATTTTACTATTTCTATTGTCAAACACATTTATTTTCAAATAGTTTACAAAGTTAAATTTTGGTAATATTGTTTTGACTGAAATTACATATTTTGATATTTTATACATGGTATGTTGTCTAAATAGACATTAAGATCTTAGAAGGTTTTGAAAGCATAAATTGTGTGTTTGAGATCTAGAAAATAATTAGGAAATCTGTGAATATGGTGTTACTAATGTATTTCTAATCAAAGTACCCATTAGCTTTGAATTATGGTGTTATCGCCATTGTATTATGGGCCATTTAAACCCATTAGCTTTGAATTTCTAAACCTATTGTTTTCATTTTGTTTTCATAGAGATTAATGTATCTTTGTTAATCTGAAGATGTCGGTCAAATCGCCTAAAATAAAATGAAATGACAAAATTATTATTTAACATAGAAATTTTTCTATTGTTTCTACTATAGGATAATGAATTTTGAAGGAGTTTTTGATTTTCTTATTAAATTACATGTAATTCAACTGATGATTGTAACATCTCCTTTCAAACCTCATATTATTGAATATATAATTTACTAAAAAGTATTTATAATCTCTTATTATCCAATCAATAATTTGTCAAAATCATACAAAAGTTGGTGTTATTCAAAAATTTAAAACTTGTTGAAGAATTTGTTGTCGAAAAGATTTTGTAAGATTTAAGATAAATTTTTAGTTCAAAATATGCACTGGAACAAAGGTAGACACGTGACTTCGATGACATCATTTCGGCAATTTCAAGAACAGTTTCCGGCGTATAGCTCGGGTTTTTTATTTTTTTAGGTACTTGTTTCAAACGTCAGTTTATGCTGTATGGAGAAAAGAGAACCGGAGGAGGCATGAGAACAACTAACTTCACCGACAGTGCTCATCCAAGCTCTTTAAGGAGAAAGAAGCTTAAGGATATTTGCAGCGTCAGTGTGTAAGAAGAGATATAGATAGAGATATCGGAGAAGATAAATTTTGAAGGTGGAGAAGAAGAAGAGGACAGACAAACGGAGCGGAAGAAATAAAAGTGGACTCTCCGTCTCTGCTGGTGGTTTCAAAACTATTAGATATTTACCAAACTAAATTCATGAGTATCCTATTTTTTTCATTTTGTTTTCATAGAGATTAATGTATCTTTGTTAATCTGAAGATGCCGGTCAAATCGCCTAAAATAAAATGAAATGACAAAATTATTATTTAACATAGAAATTTTTCTATTGTTTCTATCTATTGGATAATAAATTTTTT